ATATAATAATAATAATAATAATAATAATAATAATAAAATAATAATAATAATGCTTGTTTATATACAAATTTTCATACACTATCATTCAAAAGTTTACAATCACTGTTTTCAATAATACAAAATCAAATTTCCTGCATATACGTGTACAAAATAATTCTACTATGACGTTAATATTGTATAAGATTCAAATTAGAGGGAAGCTGTAAAAATTATTTTATGTCAGGAAAATAATATGAGTAGCAAATTACTGTTTATTATTTAATACATTTTGCTATATTTATTTTATTTATGTTACAAATATATGTTTATATATAACATAAAAAAATAAGTGCTTATATATGTTTTATATGTAATATCCCAATTTGAATTAGCTGTTTTTGTGATGTCACAAAAACCAACTCTTTCCCATGCATCTGCCTATTCAGCCTGTGCTAGTTTAGCTCCACCCACTCACACTGAAGTTATAGGAGTGTTTCAGCCTGACCTGCTTTTCCAGAACTAAAGACTGTACAGCCAATAGGAACAGAGCTCATCTTAAAGGCACAGTAACATCCTGTTTAATTGTGAAGATAAAGAGAGGTTAGAAAATGGACATGTACAAATGAATTATGACGGTTTTCCCTTTTTTTCAGGAGAAAAGAAAATAAAAATGCAACCCAATTACGATCTTTGTCCTTTTAGCAGGCATACTGTACTCTGTACATCGTCTCTTTGTATCTAGACACAAAAACTTCACCAACATGACCACTAGAGGGCGCAGGAACACCGCGTCTGAGTCATGCAGCCTGCTTGTGTGGCTCCACAGCCATTGATTTCTGTATTGAAGTCAATATGGAAAAAGATGAAGGATCTGCCCAATAGCCATTTTCTAGCCCTTTATATGGCCAGAACAAAAGATGATGATCAAAATCTCATTTTTATTTGAACTCCTGACACAAAGAACACAACAATTAAAGCCACTTCTACAGTAAAGGCCTCATTACAGCTGGGACTTAATTGTAGCTGAAAAAAGGTGCAAAGAAAATGTTGGTAAAATCAGAAATTAGAGAGGAAGCCGTGAAGAAGATAAATGATCTGTGCTGCTCCATGTTCACGCTTTGGAGCGCATTAACATCAGTCTTTTCCAGTTTCAGGAAGAACTGTGTCAGCCTGTCCCTGAAGGAGACCACGTCCAGGAGTGGTTCCATTAATCATGAAGGGGTTTCTTAACCCAAAGTGACAAGTGGGAAATAACAGCTATTGGTAAAATTTACATATACAGGGTGATTCAAAAAGATTCATCTGATTTTCAAAATGATTTATTTCACTTGTAAATCATCACAGATCAATGCAGTAAACTGTAAATGGTTTAATTGAGCATAAAGTTTATTATGTAATTGTACAAGGTCTCAGTATGAACCTCCTCCAGCTGTACAGACACCATCAACACCATAGTCAAACTCATCCCATACTGGATTGAGCATGTCGGGTGTCGCTGCACTCACGGCTCTTTCAGTGCGATTTCGGAGATCATCCAGTGTTGTGGAACCAACGACGAACGCTCTGAGCTGTTGGAGCTTCACTGCCCGATGAAAATCACACTGCACAGTTATGACTGATTCACTCTTATTGAAGTGGAGAACGCAGAACGCTTTCTGCTCAGGGGTCTCCATCTCCTCTCAGACTGAAGGGAGCCATCTTCCGGTGACGGTCAGAAACTCTATGACCCCCTCTTACAATTGGATTGTGATTGGTTCCTAGGCGCCTCACGGTTGTGAAAATACGGCGCTTTGAAATCGGATGAATCTTTTTGAATCACCCTTGTAGTTTAGACAAGGTTATTCAGCCTCAAGACGTACAGTATATATGATTTGTGTTTCCATGGGTGCCTTGTGCAAAGACCCCCCCCTGCCCCCTCTTTCAGACCTTTTCAGGAACCAGAACTTCACAACCTCACCAAGAACCTCCATAGATAGAGTCTATCAGATTGTACTTAACACTGTGGTGGAAGTCCCCATCCCCCCATTTTGTGATGTCACAAAAACCAACACATTTACATACATCCTCCTATTCGACCTATGGCAGTTTGGCCCCGCCCACTCACACTGAAGTCATAAGGAGTGTTGCAGCCTGGTCTGCTTTTCCAAGGCAGTCTCAATCCATGACAGCCAATCAGCACACAGCTTATTCACATATATCGTATATCAGTTTTAAAGGCGCAGTAACAAAAACAGCCTGTTTACTTCTAAGGGATAAAGAGAGGTTGCCATGTAAAGATAAATTTATGACTGTTTTTGATACATAAACTCAGACATAACTGGACATCAAAGGGGAAAAATACAGGAAAAAAAAGCAGAATATGGGTCCTTTAAAGAATTCGCTCCACAAAAGTCCTGGCAGTAATAAAGTTAGATTATTCTTAGCCATTGCATTAATAATAATGAACACAATTTCCTCTGGTGTCTGGCTCGTAATGAATGGTGCGCATTTATGAAAAAACGCTAATCGTTGACGTCACGCTCTGTAATTATATATTACACTGTTGATCTTGTGCACAAAAGGTGGGACGAAAACACTGAGAACATTAAGTATTTGTTCTTGAAAGCCATTAACTGCTCATCACTCAAATTAGATTAGACGTTAAACATGACAGCGCATGAATATGCAGAGGCCTGATTGAGTGACAGGGCACAGAGATGTTTCCTGTGAACACAGACTTACAGTGCCACTGAATTAAATCTCTCATGGCCTTAACATGTAAAGGTCACAAGTTAAGTTTCTTGTGGCCACAAATGAATATATTGAGGCCACAAACTACTGTACTGACTTCACTCGTGGCCACAAATGAATATACTGGGCTGCTGAATTAAATTTCTTGTGGCCTTAACATATAAACGCCACAAGTTAATTTTCTTGTGACCACAAATTAATATACTGAGGCCACAAACTACTATATTGACGTAACTCATGGCCACAAAATAATATATTGAGCTGCTGAATTCAATTTCTTGTGGGCTTAACATATAAAGGCCAGAGGTTAAGTTTCTTGTGGCCACAACTTAATGTATTGAGGCCACAAACTACTATATTGACTTAACTTGTGGCCACAAATTAATATGTCAAGCCATTGAATTAAATTTCTTGTAGCCTTAACATATAAAGGCCACAAGTTAATTTTCTTGTGGCCACAAATTAATATACTGAGGCCGCAAACTACTGTATTGACTTAAATCATGGCCACAAATTAATATATTGAGCCACTGAATAAATCTCATGTGGCCTTAACACATAAAGGCCACAAGTTAATTTTCTTGTGGCCACAAATTAATATATTGAGGCGACAAACTACTGTACTGACTTAACTTGTGGCCACAAATTAATATATCGAGCCACTGAATTAAATTTCCAGTGGCCTTAACACATAAAGGCCACAAGTTAATTTTCTTGTGGCCACAAATTAATATATTGAGGCCACAAACTACTATATTGACTTAACTCATGGCCACAAATTAATATATTGAGCTGCTGAATTAAATTTCTTGTTGCCTTAACACATAAAGGCCACAAGTTAACGTATTGAGGCCACAAAACTACTGCACTGACTTAACTTGTGGCCACAAATTAATATATCAAGCCACTGAATTAAATTTCCAGTGGCCTTAACACATAAAGGCCACAAGTTAATTTTCTTGTGGCCACAAATTAATATATTGAGGCCACAAACTACTATATTGACTTAACACATAAAGGCCACAAGTTAACATATTGAGGCCAAAAACTACTGCACTGACTTAACTTGTGGCCACAAATAAATATATCGAGCCACTGAATTAAATTTCTAGTGGCCTTAACACATAAAGGCCACAAGTTAATTTTCTTGTGGCCACACCCAGCACTCAGAGGACACCAACCAATCACGTTAAAGAGGAAGTCCAGTAAGTTTTTCAACAGAGTCATTCAGACTGTTTTGATGTGAAACAGTTCAGTGTAGAGAAACTTACCTGATCTGTTTACAGTGGTGATGATGGGAAGCAGAGTCCAGCTGTTTTATTTACCAAACATCAGTAAGCAAAACTTCATCTCCAAACTATTATGAAGTATAAAAGCTATTTTGTGTAATATCTTTCCGAGAGGGAGCTTTTAGGAGCATTAAAGGGGAATTCCACCAAATAAATTCAGTAATTCAAACATTAAGATGTGCACAAAATCATTTGGAGTGGTTTCATGTGAAACGGTTCATTGTAGAGAAACTTCTTTACAGTGGTGGTGATAAGAACCAGGGGTCATGATGTCAGATCACAAGTACCATTTTTACCATCCGACTCCATCCTAATTATTTAATCATACAGACATTTTAAAAAATCAGTGGATTTACTGTTTTATATTTGCCCTTTAATATCTCCAGACGTCTGGTTCCTATCACCGCCACAGTGAACAGTTCTGACTCAGTAAGTTTCTTGAGAATAAAGCGTTTGAAATCAAACCACTCCGAATGCTGTTGTGTACATTTCAACGATTTAATTATATAGACATTTTCAAAAAATCAATGGAGTTCCCCTTTAACTTCTTCAGACGTCTGGTTCCTATCACCACCACTGTGAACAGGTGAGTTTCTCTAAAACCGAACATTTGGAATCAAACCCCTCTGAATGACTTTGTTTACATCTGAACCGTTTAATCATGCAGTTTCAACATTTAACCGTCCAACACGGACCAACCAGCGCGCGTAAAGGTTGCAGGCACGCGCTCAAGGACGCAAACGAGTCCCAGCAGTGGAGGGCGGCAACCAATGGAAAAGAGGGCGCGAGCCAACGCAACCAATCACCAAGCTGGACTAGAGCAGCAGAGCGAGTTGGCGCGTCAGTTCAGCCTCAGTCGTTGCGCGCGTAGTGGAGGACAGCCGAGTCCGGACAGAAGCGCGCGAGCCGGACAGAAATGGGAGTCAGTGATGACGCGCTCAGTCAGGTGAGTAGCGCGAGCGGGATGGACGCCGCGTAAACGTGGAGAGTGTGCGCGCTCAGATGGAGAGCTTGGAGAACCTGACCAACGAGACGGTGGTGCGCGCGGACGGAGCCGGTCTGGACGGCGAGGGCGAGGGCGGAGGGAGCGCGCGCGCCCTGCTCGGCTTCGTCCTCTTCCTCCTCATCGTGTCCACGCTGCTGGGCAACACGCTGGTGTGCGCCGCCGTGGTCAAGTTCCGCCACCTGCGCTCCAAGGTCACCAACTTCTTCGTGGTGTCGCTGGCCGTGTCCGACCTGTTCGTGGCCGTGCTCGTGATGCCCTGGGAGGCCATGTCGGCCGTGGCGGGCACGTGGCTGTTCGGGCGCTTCTGCGCCGTGTGGATCGCCTTCGACATCATGTGCTCCACGGCGTCCATCCTCAACCTGTGCATGATCAGCGTGGACCGCTACTGGGCCATCGCGAGCCCCTTCCGCTACGAGCGCCGCATGACGCACCGCGTGGCCTTCGCCATGATCGGCGTGGCGTGGACGCTCTCCGTGCTCATCTCCTTCATCCCCGTGCAGCTCAACTGGCACGAGCAGGGCGGCGAGGAGCCGCAGGAGCTGGCCGCAGCCGCCGCCGCCGCCGCCGCGCACGAGGAGGGCGGCAACGGGAGCGCGCGCGCCGACTGCAAGGCCAACCTGAACCGCACGTACGCCATCTCGTCGTCGCTCATCAGCTTCTACATCCCCGTGCTCATCATGATCGCCACCTACACGCGCATCTTCCGCATCGCGCAGACGCAGATCCGGCGCATCTCGTCGCTGGAGCGCGCGGCCGGCCAGCACCCCGCGCCTCCGCACCAGCAGCACAGCCAGAGCCACCAGCAGGGCGACGAGCACGCGCTCAAGACCACCTTCAAGAAGGAGACCAAGGTGCTGAAGACGCTCTCGGTCATCATGGGCGTGTTCGTGTGCTGCTGGCTGCCCTTCTTCGTGCTCAACTGCGCCGTGCCCTTCTGCCGCTGCGTCAGCGACACCACCTTCGCCATCTTCGTGTGGTTCGGCTGGGCCAACTCGTCGCTCAACCCGGTCATCTACGCCTTCAACGCCGACTTCCGGCGCGCCTTCTCCTCGCTGCTGGGCTGCCACAGGCTCTTCTCCAGCGCCGCCGCCGTGGAGGCCGTGAACTTCAGCAACGAGCTGGTGTCTTACCACCACGACACCACGCTGCAGAAGGACGCGCCCGCCAACCTGCAGCAGCAGCAGCAGCACCAGCAGCCGCATCTGGCGCGCGACGAACCGGCCGCGCGCCTCGACAAGGCCTCCATCTCGTCCGGCGCCTCGCGAAGGCTCGGGCACGGGCACGGGCGCGCGCACGCGCTCCTGCCCCACGAGTGCGACGGCGAGATCTCGCTGGACACCATCACGCCCTTCACCTCCACCGGGCTCGTGGAGTGCGAGGGACTGCCTGGGCAGATCATCAACGACTGATTATCAATAACCAATAATCAGTAAACAGTCTCGAGCGTTTTAGCCAATAAGAGGCAACAGGCCACAAACCCGGATCTTACCTGTATGATCAGCAGAGGTGGGTAGAAGGTACAGCCACCGAGTTCTGTGTGTTCCAAAGTCAAAAAGGGGTTCTGCTTAGTACACTCCTAAGAAAGATGGGTTCTTTAGTGAGGGGAACGGACTTCTTTATGGAACTATTTCATGCTTAAATGGTTCTTAGTAAAGAACCCTTGAAGAACCTATAGATCTATATAGAACCATGAACACTCAAAGAACCCTTTCCATGGTTTAAGGGTTCTTTGCATGGTGAAATGGTTCTTCAGGTTGATGGAGAATGTGCTGCATATGGTTCTATATAGAACTTTTTTGAAATGGGTTCTACATAGCAGCAAAAAACGTTCCTCTATTGGTGCTATATAGAACCCTTTTTTTATATAGAATCCTTGTAGAACCATCTACAGCACATTCTCCGTCAATCTGAAGAACCTTTCACCTTTACCTATATAAAGGTATGGGCTAGAACCAACATTTTTAAGTGTATATATGTGTGTATATAATCAGTGTTCCATTATGTTAACCAAACTACTGTCGCAAGCCTGACATCATAACAATCAAAGACTTTTTGAAAAGGGTTTTATACAGAACTGTATGCAGCACGTTCTCCATCAATGCAAAGAACCCTTAAATCATGGAAAGGGTTTTTTAAATGTTCATGGTTCTATAGAACTGTAAGTTCTTCTTTAGTAAAGAACCCTTGAAGCCTTAAAGAACCATCACTTTTAAGTGTGCATATATATATATATATATATGTCGCTGCTGTCGGAAGAAAATCTTGTATCTCCAAAATGGTAACTTTACAGGAGAAGGAAAAAAACTACTTTACTTTTAATGTAAATCAATGGAACCAGAATTTTTTCCAAGTGATTTTGGGCCATTTCTTTTGGTCAAATCATCATGAAATTTACGCACAATATAAAGGGTAACAGGCATTTTCAAATTATGTCAAAAACTGAAAAACGACAAAAATGGAGATACGTGGTTTTCTTCCAACAGCTTACCTGGTTTTAAAAATCCATTTAGATGCCTGGTCTTTCCCATTGGCACTGTATATTTGAATATTGAACCTGTGTCCCTTCTTGTCAAGACTGAGAACACTGTTAATCCTCCACTGACACTGAAATTCAGTCCAACACTGATCCATGTCTGGGAAACCGGCACATGAAGTTTAAAGAAATGTAGACATAATGAATAAAATGATCCTTTGAGTTAATTACTCAAATTACTCACAATTATGTGATTAATTAGAATTCATTGAGTACATATTATTTAACCAAAGTATCTCAGAAGCTGCTGTAGAGAACCTATATATATAAGTATATACATACTTACATACATATATGTGTGTAGCACTGTGCAAAGGTTTTAGGCTAAAAGCTCTATCTGGGCAGTAAGTGTTTATTTGTGTGAAAAAAACTGCAATAAAAAAATCAGTAAGTAGTGATTTTATATATACATTTATTGCTGCTGTCAAAACAAAACCTCATATGTCCAACATGGTAACTTTACAGGAGAAGGGAAAAACATGCTTTAATTTTAATGTAAGTCAATGGAACCAGACGTTTTTCCAAGTCATTTTGGGTCATTTCTTGTGGGCTGTTCATCATGAAATTTATACACAATGTAAAGGAAAACAGGCATTTTTCAGATTATGCCAAAAACTGAAAAACAACAAAAACAGAGATATGAGGTTTTGTTCCGACAGCGGCGATATTTATATATTGCTTATGTTTAACAATTTCCAAAGCTCTCCTTTTAGTTTAGTATTAATTGCAGTTGTCGTCCAGCACCGTGTTTGATCAGCTCTTCATTACATTAAATCAGGAGTGCTGGTGATGGACTTATCCTTAAACCTGGGACCAAACATCTTCTTCGAATTAGCTAACCAGACTTTTGCAAATACAAACTCCTGGTTATTTTTAATCATATTTATGTTTTGTTTTAATGTATTGCGTAAGGCTTTTGCACAGTACTATATATATATATATATATATATATATATATATATATATATATATATGTGTGTGTGTGTTTCTTCCAACATCGCTGTTATCAGAAGAAAGCTTTGTATCTCCAAAATGGTGACTTTACAGGAGAAGGAAAAAACATACTTTACTTTTAATGTAAGTCAATGGAACCAGAAATTTTTCCAAGTCATTTTGGGTCATTTCTTTTAGTCCATTCAACATGAAATTTACATAAAATGTAAAGACTAACAGGTATGTTCAAATTATGTCAAAAACTCAAAAATGGAGATACAAGGTTTTCTTACGACAACGATATATAAATATATATATATATATATATGTATATGTGTGTGTGTGTGTGTGTGTGTGTGTGTGTACATATATATATATATCTATATATATATATATATATTAGTTGAATATATATGAATGTTATATTGCTCAGGAGAGGGCAAAAACATTTTTAACTTTTTAATGTAAGTTAATGTAAAAAGATGGAGCATTTCTATTGGTCCGTTCATCATAACATCTTTACACAATATAAAGGACAAATAATAAACAAACAGGTAATAACTAAACTCTTTTTAGGATGTTCTCGAGGACGTTTGTGATGAAGGAATCTACAGTTACCTAAAGGAGTCCTAAGACTAAGAAGTCCTATAGAGAGCAGAGTTTTAGGACCTGATACTTTTGTACTTTCGCTGTATTTATTTCTATATATAAATTTTGCATGTATATATATATATATATATATATATATATATATATATATATATATATATATATGTGTGTGTGTGTATGTATCTATATATGTATTTATTTATTTATTTATTTGTTTATTTATTTCCCTCATAGAGCATGTGGGTTAAATTAACACTTTAGCTCATGTAGCCCATTTCAGTGCTTTCTATTAGTCAACCCTGCATTATAAATTATTATTATATATTATGGCCTGTACAGGCATTTTACATTCATAATTGAAAAATCAGCTGCCTGTTTACATAACATGAATCAAATAAAGTGCTGCAGTGAAAGTAAGAGGTAACCGAATGTTTTGCACAATGAGTCATGCTTAACTATGCTATGACATTTTGGTACGGGTGTAGCAGCAGCATTCAAATACAGCGCTGCACTTACCTGCCCCAGTTATTTACATCTTAAAATGCCAACAAAATAAAAATAATACACTTGCCGGTTGCTTGTTTGGAGTAAAAATTGTCCGATTCCAGTTCTGATCATGCACCCCAGGTTTAGGCTGCTGTACCCACCTCTGATGATCATAAGAGAAAATCTTCTCTTGCAGTATAACGTTGCTGCTGGTTGTGGCGCAGATTGTAGCCTGTTCCAAGACCAGACCCGCCACACAGTGTATAGAAAGTCCATTTGTTAAGCTGCAGATTAAGCAAGGTTAATTATGCCTAGTTAATCACTAGAGTACTTTGCAGAAGAGGCTGTGCAGAAGACTGAACACACTCATGGTTATTTGGGCACTTAAAGCAGAATTCCACTCAGTTTCTAAAATAGGTACGTAATATAATGGTGGAGATGTAAACAAAGTCATTCAAAGTGGTTTGACTCTGATTTCTTTACAGCGGTCATGATGGCAACTAGGGGTCACAATGCCTACAACACAGAAATAGGCATTTTATTTACTATCCAAACCATCAGTAATCCTACACAAGTTTTTCTATATAATTAAGAATTAATTTTTAAGAAAATTAAGTTTACTTTGCGAACTGTTTTTCCTTAGAACACCCTGCATGTGCCCCTCCACCATGAATGTGTTTGAAAATGTGTGTTTTAGGCTTAAATCCCGTCTCAAAACTGTCATAAAATCATGTCTCTGACATCAGACGGTGTATTCTATTTACTAACTTTCTGTGAGAGCGGTATTAAACTCCTTAGACGTCTGGTTCCTATCACCACCACTGTGAACAGTTCTGACTCTGTAGGTTTCTCTAGAACAGAGCATTTCACACCAAACCACTCTGAACGACTTTGTTTACACCGTGACCATTTATTTATGCAGGCACTTTGAAAAAACGATGGGATTCCCCTTTAAATTGAGTTGGATTGTACAGTTTGATGGGTTGACTGATGCTGTAAACTGATTATTGTTACTGTAATTGAGAAATTTCAAACATTTACCCACCAAAATCAATATTTTAGGCTCTAAATATGGTAAATTGGTGAACTGTAACAATGTAGGCAGTTGTCACCTCACTGTGTTTAATTTTAATGAGAGTATTAAAGGTTTAAATTGCAGTGTGATCTGTGAAGTTTGACACATTGTAAGCAGCTTAATAAAAAAACGTCAATAGCTCAAAGTCAGTATTGATGTGCTGCATTCGCCTGTTTTCTTATGTACACATAGACAGTGACAAATAAACAACAACTACAGTAGCAAAGATGGTTAAATAACAGAAGCTGTGCCTCTAAATGAAATACAATCAATTGCTTTGCTTTGTATTATATATTTATTTTTCGTATGCAGAAGTTTGAACCCCACCAGTCAAATTATATATTCTGTTGATTTAAATTTAAATTTTAGTGCACAATTTCTGTTTATTTCAGTTTAACAGAATGGACAAAATATATATAAAATCTGCCATAATAATAACATAGGACACATTTTCTGTATATTTTTCCAATATGTTAAATTGAGCAAATAAACAGACATCAATAAAACCTCATTTGACCAGGGGTGCCCAAACTTTTGCATAAGGCTGTATATAATTTGAGGTACTATGGTATATTAGGTCAATGAAGCGGTGCCTTTGTGAGAGTAATAATATTTATTTTCTGAAATCACTGCAGCTTTCTTTCTTCCCTTCCGTCTCTCAACTGTTTGAATGTAGTGAAACAAGGCAAGAACTGATGAAAAGAAAAAGAACGATCTAGAAACAGTGTTTAGAAGTCCACCTGGCTGTAGTGAGCTTTTCATCCGGGCAGAAC